ACACACACACATACACACACACACCTACGTACACTTTTGCACTTCATATTAACTTACAAAAAACACATCGACACATTTTTATTATAAAAAACTATAGATAAGAATGCAAGCGTGACAAGTTCGAGTCATTAATTAATTGCCTTACTTTTGTCGCTGGGTCGCTGACCGGACCTTGGCCCACTCATCAGGTAGATTTGAGTCGCAACCAGCAACAATACACCCACACAGATTATGACGACAGCTCGGTTCAGCAGCTCTGAGGCAAATAATTTTTATGATATAAGATATAATAATTTCTTTTCTAAATTATATTTTTTTAGACGGACGCCAAGGAGGGTGTATGCAGTAGAGAACTTAAGGACTGCAATATAGGGAAACAAACAAACAAATCCCAATACATGTATAATATGTGTGTGTATGTAGGTATATGCGGGTGTGTGTGTGTGTGTGTGTGTGTGTGTGTGTGTGTGTGTGTGTGTGTGTGTGTGTGTGTGGATGTGTGCCTGCACGCTCGCGCTTTTTTTCTCTTCATTGTTTTGTTTGTTCTTTTATATTTTTGAGTCGTTACTTTCTTTTACAGGTGCTTTTTAAGCAATGCACGCCATGCCTGGCTACTCCACTTTGTCACTAATTTGGTTTTTTCCGCCTCAAGGAAAACAATTTGCTATATCTATCATGGAGAAATAAGTAAAAAGAATCAACAACAACAACAACAACAACAACAACAACATCAACAACAGCAACAACAGCAACAACAGCAACAGCAACGACAATAAAAGGGCATTGAAAGCCTGTTAAAAACCTATTTGTGTTGGGGCTTGGTAATTCACTAATATTGTTGTATACTGTTGCATACTGTTGTATACAACATCCGAAACTTGACCTAATCCGTGGGTGTTTGATGGGTGCGCTGGTGTGGTTTGTTTCTTCTTTCCTATCAAACTTCTATCGTCTTTATCTTCCCTCCTTTTTTGTGTTTGTTACTCTCTTGTAACACTTCTAATCTTCGGCATTTCTATGACCTAATTGTGTTGCAAATGCCGTAAAACTCTTACTAAAACTAAAACTTGACCTCATCCGTACTCTTGTCCAGCTGAAAGAGGCACCTCCCCCGGATCCGCTGAAGGGCTGGCGGGTCCACTCCTGGGTCATGGTCCTCAAAGGCCTGCGTGACGTCACAGAGACGTTCTTCATCGAGCCCACCACAGGAGTGTCGCATCCCACCGACTGGGGCCAGTACCTGGGCATTGAGTCCATCTGGAACCACCTCAACTACTACATCAACTGTCATCGGGAGGCCGTGAATACAAAAGTGGTCAGAGTGATTGTGTACATTGATGGGTTTGTTTTGCGTCGTCGTCGTCAGATTTGCTATAGTCGTTGTCACCGTTGTCGTCATCAACATGGTTGTTGTTATCATAATAATAATGATAATAATAATAATAATAATAATAATAATAATAATGAT